TAGCATCATTAGTATTCGGCCTTGTAAAATAATAAAAATGAATCGCTCCTGTATTCCTCTTGTTCCAATTAATCTCTGTTAACATGATATACAGATCATTTGTAGCATTTCTAAAGTAGTATGAGGATTATGATATTTCCACTAGCTTACGCATATACATCTTTCCCATCAATATTCAGTTCAGATGGATAAATTACAAAATACCTAGGTTCTCTTAGTAATTTCATCATTGAATTTTGTGTGCCCTTTTAATACAATCGTCAGTATGGTGGGTTGTGCTCATGTATTGTCATAACTTCTAAAATTTTAATTTGAAATAACTACTGGCTTTTTCAACTTACATATCATTGATCTTCATTGAGTAGTTAAACTTACCTTGTCAATTATCATAGAGACACTACTATAGTCTTCATTTCCATGTTAATCTTTGTTCCCATCGGAAAATGTTTTAATCCTTTGTTGACATCTTGCAGGCACAAGACCAGGTTACATATTGGACAGTTGGTTAAAGACACCTCTGCTAAACTTAAACAAGCCAGTGAAATAGATCATCACGCTGGAGTTAACGTAAGACTTTTTTCTAAACACCCACCTCTCTCTCCAGAAGTGTCCCCCTGGCAGTGATACAATGTTAAGCTAGGATGCCAATTCCTACTTTCATAGCAAGAACAAAATATTCCTATATTGTAGTAGAGAATTGGAATAAGTGTTAATCTGATCCATCAACGATGATAGAGTATAAGTTAGGACATGTTATATTAGTACCTACATTAGTAACTTGAGAATTATCCGTCTCCTACTTTCTCAGACGATGTGATAATTCTGCAGGCCAGCAAGAAAATTGCAGATGCTAAGCTTGCAAAAGATTTTCAAGCAGTGTTGAAAGAATTTCAGAAGGCTCAACGACTTGCAGCTGAGAGGGAAACAGCATATACACCGTTTGTTCCCCAGGCAGTTCTACCTTCTAGGTATGTCAGGTTCATTATAAACATATGTACTTTTTTTGTTCTCTTTTTCCTGAAAAAGAGATAAAAGAGGAATGTAATTCCGTTTCATCAGAAGGAGAGAGATATGGAAAAGAGGCAAGCTATTCGCCCAAAGAAACATGTTGGATTGTTCCTTCTGATATAAGTTATTTGCTTGGAGTGTTTGTTGATTACTGGCTACATTGGATTTACTTGAGAATATTATTTACTCTTGGATTTGATTTGATTTGAACACATGAGTATGACTATTAACATTCTAATGCAATGTGGTTTGTTTGAACCTATATACAGCTACACAGCCGGTGAGTCAGATGCAAGCTCAGAAAATAATCTTGAACAGCGTGCCCTCCTTGTGGAATCCAGGAGGTAACAGTTTTTTCTCTGCATTTTGTTGCTGGGTGATTGATTGTTGGGTTATGCAGTTGAACTTATGCAGTTGAATTTATGTTTCAAATACTCTGCACTATTTACTGATGAAATGTTGGGCCCATGTATGCAAGAACATCATTTCATATAAAAACGTAGTGCTAAAAGCTCTTTAAATGAGTTTAAGTCTTTTCTTTAGGGGGTTTCTCTTTGGTAGTTGTGTTATTTTCATGCAAAAAACAAAGTTCTGAATAAATCAGGTTAAAGATGAGAAAATCATTTGGTAGATTTGAGCAGTTAGCAACTAATAACAGGAAGTGAAATTATTATGTCATTTTCCCTTTCTTTTAGTTGTTTCTTTTTTCTTGCTTAACAAATAGTGTGATTATTTGATTTGAAAAATGCTATAGTTATTTGATACTACCAGAATTAATGACCGAGGAATAGAAACTGTCTCCTTTCATATGGTGAATCCTAAGGCCTATCTAGGTTTCGTAGAATGCGCTGTCATGCATATATTTTCTGCCATGCTATATTCAGTGTTTTCCTAAAATTTGATGCTCCCTCTTCCCCAGTGTACAACTTAATTATGATAAGGCAGGCGCATGCATAGTTTATTACTTAATTGAATGGTTTGTGCAGACAAGAGGTCTTGCTGCTGGACAATGAAATTGCCTTCAATGAGGCAATAATTGAGGAAAGAGAACAAGGTATTCATGAAATCCAGCAGCAAATTGGAGAGGTCAATGAAATTTTCAAAGATCTTGCTGTTCTAGTTCATGAACAGGGAGCCATGATTGGTAAGGAACTTGAGTTTATAAAGTTGCAGTTGTGTGTGTAGCTCAAGTTATTCATGTATATATCTCCATGTTGTAGATGATATTGGATCCAACATTGAGAGTTCCCACGCTGCAACATCACAGGGAACTACTCAGCTTGTCAAAGCTTCAAAGACACAAAGATCAAATTCATCTCTGGTGAGCCCTTACGTTTTCTTATGTTCTTCAGTATTCCTTTTTTTTTTTTTTTTTTTTTTTTTTTTT